TTTGTTTATTTATAGAAGCTGTTGAGGACCACACTATTGTTTTTAGACCCTGATAAATTAAAGTATAGAATTGAAGGAGGGTATACTTTCTTTTTCCCATGACTGTATGAAGAAAGAGGAGGGGAAATATTTTAATGGTTAATAAAAGAAATCATTTTCATACCAGCCTTTCCCTTTTATTGTAAAGATCTCTAACCTTAACCCTTTTAAAATCTAACCCATATCCTTAGGGGTGTTGCATTTCAGAAAGATTAGAAAAATTTGCTGGACATGCTATCAGTATCTATCAGTATCAGTATCAGTATCAGTATCTATAAAATTGGAATCCTTTATGTGGCATTTCATTATAATGGCCATTTCAGTACATTGGAGAATAATCATATATAAATGCGGAATTACATCTGAACAAACCACAAAGTTCTAGAGTAATATCCTTTGAACTGATGAGACCAAGGTCGAGATGTTTGGTCATCATGAACAGTGCCATGTTTGGTGAAAACCAAACACGGCATATCACCACAAACCTCATACCAACTGTCAAGCATGGTGGGGGAGGGGTGATGATTTGGACTTGTTTTGCAGACACGGGACCTGGGAAATTGCAGTCACTGAGACAATGATGAACTCTATTTTATACCAGAATATTCTTGAGACAAATGTTATGCCATCTGTCCAGCAGCTTAAGCTGGGCCGAAATCGGTCATGCAACATGACAGTGATCCCAAGCACACCAGCAAATTGACATCTGAATGTCTAAAGAAGGAAAAAAAAATCAAGGTGTTGGAATGGCTAAGCCAAAGTCCAGAGATGCTGTGGTGGGATCTTAAAAGAGCTGTGCATAAACAAATGCCCTCAAACATCAATGAACTGAAGCAGTGCTGTAAAGAAGAGCACTTCTAAAATCTAACCCCTAACCATAACCCTAGTAGGGGCCTTATATTTCGGAAAGATCAGAAAAGTTTGCTGGACATGCTATCAGAATCTATTATAACACTAGGATTGCACTTCCAGTGCTTGGCACCAATGACTATTGTCTCCTGAAATCCTGACAACATGCAGCTCCAAAACCCACTGGCACAACCGTACCACCATACAGCAGGGAAATGTGCCTGTGCCTCTACAACCTACAGTTCTGAATATATAGGCCATGGAATTTGGCCATTTTTGTCCAAAAAAGCTCCATTTTGGGCAAAAATGATGCCAGCAGCACTGCCATGGAGCTCGCGGGTTTTCTGATGAAATATTCTTGAGAAAGTCCTGACTACTTTGCATCTGTGAATTGAGATTTTTTTTTCTATAAAGTGCTCTTGCCTCAGCTAGCTCACGTGCCTTGCCTCACCCAAGATGAAGACTTAATGCCACCAGACCCTGGCAGGGGAATTTCAACATACAGTACTTTACACTGATTTGGGGCACTTTTCTCTACACACAATAATTCAACATCTCCCTGCCTGACCTTTGGAGGGGACTTTTTTGGGATAAATTAATAACTCCAGACCCAGGTATGGGAATTTCTACCTACTTTACCCCAATTTTGGGCACTTTTCCCCAGAATAAAAAGAGTAATGTATTGTTGGGACCTATATGGAAAATAATTTAAAATTTAATATCCCCACAACCAGCCAGGAGAATTTTACCAAATGTTACTATAGATTGATGCACCTCACCCTAGACACACCCCAACAAGCTCTCCTCCGAGGTTCTTCAACCTTGGTCTCATGTAATATTTTCCAAAGGAATTTCTCTGTGGGGTTCGGGTAACATTTACAAATTATTTTTGTCAGTAGGCAGCGCAAAGCCACAGAAATTTACCAGACTTTAGTCCGCTCCACCCTGGTTGGAACAAGACAGGCCACTCTACTACAGAGCTAGAGAAATTAAAGAAAACCCCACCTGACTTTTCCACATATTCTGCCAAATGCCCACTAGATGGTGCGACGAGACCACGAATGAACCATTTTTCTCAGCTGAACCGTATTCAGGTTCCTTTAAGCTTAAAATTGGGTCAAATAAATTATAAACATTAAACAAAGTAAATAAAAAAAAAACAATGTCATTATTTAGTTTAATTATTATTACCTTAAAAATAATTATTTGCAAGGCTATTATTTTATAATTATTTTTATTTAGCTCGCCAGGCAGGGATCCCTTCTGTCTCCAGGCATGTCATCTTCAGACCCACACACCCACAAATTAGGATAGCGCCTTAGCTTACAAACAAAGAACTTGTCTGCTCACCCGAATGCCACATAGGCTGTACCAAAATCATGCAGCACATCAAAGGAGTACAACAGGTTATATAGCCTTGCAAAAGCCAGGCCAACAGGTGACAGGAGCTGACAGGACTTGTAGGTGGGCCACTTGCAGGTTCGCCACTTGTCTCTAGCTCCCAACAGGAATCCAAAGATAAGTGCCCTTTTTGCACCAACCAGCACAGCAATTTGAGATTCATATTGCTTATTTTAGCCTTTTGTAGCCTCAGCGAGCGACTTCTTGCAGTACTCAAATCATTTTGTCCTCCCACGTGTTACAGCAGCACGAGTTGAGTATACATCTGCCCTTAGCTGCAGAGCAGTTATGTAATTATGTTGTTTGAATTCTACCCTCGTGGGGGCCTTCATCCATTCATTACTAAAGCTATCATTTGAGAATACCTCAACTCCTTTGCCCTGTACAGGCTGTGCACACCAAGCATGCTTTTCCTCTACCCTCCCGTCATATAGAACTGGGTTCTTCAGTGCAGTTACCATGACTGTGGTGTCAGTCGTGTGGGGAGCCAGTTCAATATTCCCTTTAGCACTGCACCATAGCCTCTCAAAATCCATTCTGCCCACCTGTCACTGTCACTACTCTCCTTGTTAGCTCATCACTGGAGCTTAGCAGCCGGTATAGGTGTCTCACTTGGATAAATAGAATTAGACTGGCCAGCCTTTGGATTCCCAGGCCATCACATCAGGGCCTCAAGTAGGATAGCCCATGTTGACAGTGGAAGGTGTAGCCACCACCATCACTGATTTCCTGATTATTCCATCCAATGCCGCTAGCATCATGCCCTTTGCCCCACAGTGACCCGCAAGGTATATTGGCTCCAGGTTGACAGTGGAAGGTGTAGCCACCACCATCACTGATTTCCTGATTATTCCATCCAATGCCGCTAGCATCATGCCCTTTGCCCCACAGTGACCCGCAAGGTATATTGGCCTAGGGACTGCATAATCCTTGAGCATCCTGACCTCTTGCAATAACTTAAGGGAGGCACTGCCCGGTCTATTCATCCATAGACATAGCGGAGCACCCCATCTGGTTTGGCTATCCCAATTCAGGAATTCACCTTTACACCCAGACATTTTTCCACCTCATTAGGACCAATGAGGTGAATGGATTCCCCTCCATACTGACACTCCTCACAGTTGCTGACTATGCAGGAGGCGCCTCCCTTTTTATCAGGAATCCATGGCATTTACTGGGCTGAACCCTAAACCCAGTTTTATCACAGAATGCATCAAGAATCCTCAAGTTGTCATTCATGCCCACCCAGGAATGCTGATTAATACCAGATCATCCACGAAAGCCAATGTAGTAACACTACTACCTCCTACTGCATAGCCACTTCCAAGGTTTTCCAGGGCTTGGATTAGGGGATCCAAAGCCAGGTTGAAGAGTAATGAAGGCCTTGGTTCTCCTTGCGTCTAGATCTCATGATTCTCATCACACTTGAGGTTTCCGCACCACTACAGCAGCTCTCTTTTATGCCATGACTTAGGTCCAGAAATGGAAATTATTGTCAGCGAACACCAGTTATGGGCCCAACGCTCCAGCTCCATCCATTTTCAAGGCTAGTTGATTCAGCAGGTGAGTTGTTACACACTCCTTAGCAGATTCCAACTTCCATTGCCACCGTCCTGCTGTCTTTATCAACCAACACCTTTTATGGGGTCTGATGAACACTTGCATTGGGTGCCTTAACCCAGTTCTGCTCACCAAACGTGGCCCACTGGGCATTTGCATTCCATGCCTGGCTCCAAGCCAGCGAGCCAAACTTTTTCCCATTTAATGTATGATAATAATGGACTGTGTGGACACAAACTGTTTACCTCTTAGCAGTTTCATGCCTTGTTGAAATCTCTTCCCTTATGGTATGTGTTCGCTATTAGTCTCATGCTGGTATTTAGCCTTAGATTGAGTTTACCACCCTCTTTGGGCTGCATACCCAAACAACCTGATTATGAGAAGTCCGCACCCCAGCGGCACGAAGGCTGGTATTGTCCGCTGTCCACGGGCTGAGCTTCCATCCCGGATAATGCAGCCCACAAAGGGATTCAGGATTTGGTGTTGGGCTCTTCTCACTTTGCTTGCTGCTACTCATGGAATTCTGGTAAGTTTCTTTTCTTTGCTTCAATCTGAGGTCATGGTTGGAAAGTGTCTTCCCCCAAGTAAAAAGAGGGACTTATCAAAAAATATAGATGCCCAGAACCCGTGCCCTGCTGCTGCAATGGAGCCCAGCTTCCCGTGCGCACAGAAAGCCAAAGTGGAAGAACCACTGGCAGCCACACATGGACAGCCACCACAGTGTTTGGGAGGACAAAGCTGCACATGCCTGCAAGCTCCCAGCTGCAGACACACACACAGGAGTGATCGATGGGAATAGAGGGATGGACCCAGGGCCGCAGGGCATGTTCAAGGTATTGATGATCAATGTGTCCTGCAATTCACAGTTATCGCAGCTGGCTGCGTTCTTCATCAACGTACAAGTCGAGTTTATGTTTACATTTATGGAATTTGGCACATGCCCTTATCCAGAGTGACTTACAGAAGTGCATGGAAGTTGCTGTTCTTCTTTCGGCTGTTCCCATTAGGGGTTGCCACAGCAGATCATTGGACGGCATATGTGATCTGGCACATCGGATGCCCTTCCTGACACAACCCACCCCAGTTTTATCCAGGCTTGGGATGGGCACTGGGAGTGCACTGTCTTGTGCAACCCCAGTGGCTGGGGTTGGTTCCCTAGCCAGGAATCGAACCTGGGCCACAGTGGTGAGAGCGCTGAAGCCTAACCACTAGTCCTCCAGCAACCCCACAGAAGTGCCTTCTAGATGTTTCTATCAGTGAATACATCCTCATACTGGTTCACTAGGTCAGGGACAAAGAGTACTATCAGTCTAAAAACCCTGTTGTTATTTTTTAAATAACAAAGTGCTAATTTAAGTACTTCATGAAGAGGTAGGACATTCAGCTTTAATTTGAGGGTATTTACATCCACACCAGGTGAACAATGTAGGAATTACAGCACTTTTTATATGTGCCCCCCTCTTCTTTTTTTTTTAGGGAAACACATGTAATTGGACAACTGCCTGCTCAGCTGTTCCATGGCCAGGTGTGTGTTATTCCCTCATTATTTCACTTACAAGTAAGCAGATAAAAGATCTAGGATTTATTTCAAGTGTGGCATTTGCATTTGGAATCTGCCAGTGACATAAGCCATCATTAGGCTGAAAATCTAAATAAACCCCTCAGGGAGATAGCAAAAACATTAGGTGTGGCCAAATCAACTGTTAGGTACATTCATAAAAAAAAGGATGCACTGGTGAGCTTAGGAACACAAAAAGGCCTAAAAGACCACAACTGAAAAGAAAACAGTTTTGTTAGATGATAACAAACTGATAACCTGGTGAAGAGAAACCAGTTCAGACCAGTTAGCCAGATCAAGATCAAGGTGCATCTGTGTCAAAGTCAACAATCAAGAGAAGGATTCACCTAAATACAGAAGCTTTACCACAAAACGTAAACCATTGATAAGATGACACTAAGGTCAACCTGCAAAGGTACAAACCTGAATGATGGGAAGAGAAGAGCATGAAGAAGGGAAGGATCTGCTCATCCAAACTTCATGAGGCTACCTCATTTTATGGCACGAGTATGTATGACTGCCAGTCGAACTCATTCCCTTGTACAACTCCATTTCCAAAAAAGCTGGGACGCTTTGTAAAATGCGAATAAAAACAGAATGCAATGATTTGCAAATTGCACAAACCCCTATTTTATTCACAACAGAACATAGAAAACATAAATGCTTAAACTGAGATAGTGTACTGTTTTATGGGGAAAAAAAAAGTTAATTTTGAATTTGACGACTGCAACACGTCTCAGAAAAGTTGGGACAGGGCCATGTTTACCACTGTGTAGCATCTCCTCTTCTTTTAACAACAGCTTGTATACATTTGGGAAGTGAGGAGATGAGTTGCTTCATGATATGCCAGATATTTTCAATTGGTGAAAGGTCTGGACTGCAGGCAGGCCAGTTCAGCACCCAGATTCTTCTGCTATGAAGCCATGCTGTTGTAGGATGTGCGGTATGTGTTATCGCATTGTCTTGCTGAAATATGCAAGACCTTCCCTGAAAAAGACATCATCTGGATGGAAGCATATGTTGCTCTAAAACCTGTATATACCTCTCAGCAATGATGGTGCCTCTCCAGATGTGCAAGCTGCCCATGCCATACGCACTAATGCATCCCCATATCATCATAGAAGGTGGCTTTTGAACTGAGCGCTGATAACAAGTCGGATGGTCCTTCTTTTCTTTAGTCCAGAAAACATGGCATCCATGATTTCCAAAAAGAACTTCAAATTTGGACTTGTCTGACCACAGAACAATCTTCCACTTTGCCTCAGTCCATTTAAATGAACTTTGGCCCAGAGAAGACGGCGGTGTTTCTGGATCATGTTCATATATGGCTTCCTCTTTGGTACTGCTTTAATCTGCATTTGTGGATGGCACGGCGAACTGTGTTTAATGACAATGATTTTTTGAAGTGTTCCTGAGCCCGTGATATCCATTACAGAAGCATGCCTGTTTTTGATGCAGTGCCGTCCTAAGGCCCGAAGATCACGGGCATCCAATACTGCTTTTCAGCCTTGTCCCTTACGCACAGAGATTTCTCCAGATTCTCTGAATCTTTTTATGATATTATGTACTGTAGATGATGATATGTTTAAATTCTTTGCAATTTTACATTGTGGAACATTATTCTGAAATTGTTGCACTACTTGCCCATGCGGTTTTTCACTGGTTGGTGAACCTCTGACAATCTTTACTTCTGAAAGACTCTGCCTCTATAAGATGCTCTTTTACACCCAATCATGTTACTGACCTGTTGCCAATTAATTCAATTAGTTTTAAAATGTTCCTTCAGCTGTTTCTTGTTAGTATTATTTACTTTTCCAGTCTTTTGTTGCTCCTGTCCCAACTTTTTTGAGACAGGCTGCTGGCATTAAATTCCAAATGAGCTAATATTTCTCATAAAATAGTAAAATGTCTCACTTTAAACATTTCATATGTTGTCTATGCTCCATTGAGAATAAAATATGGGCTTATGTGATTTGTAAATCTTTGCATTCTGTTTTTACTTGCGTTTTACAAAGCATCCCAAATGTTTTGGAAATGGGGTTGTATTTACTAATGACATGACTGCTGGCAAAAGCAGCAGAATTAATTCTGAAGTGTATAGGGCCATATTATCTGTTCAGATTCAGCCAAATGTTTCAGACAGAACTCACTGGATGGCACATCACAGTGCAGATGGACAATGACCCAAAGCATACTTTGAAAGCAACCCAAGACTTTTTTAGGCAAAGAAGTGGGAATGTTCTGCAATGGCCAAGTCAATCACCTGATCTGAATCCAATTGAGCATTATTTCATTTGCTGAAGGCAAAACTGATGGCAACATGCCCCAACAGCAAGCAGGAACTGAAGACTGCTGTAGTAAAAGGACTTGCAGATGTCTATGGGTTCCAGACATCAAGCTATCATTGACTGCATAGGATTTGCAACCAAGTATTAAAAATGACAATTTAATTCATGATCAATAATTTGTTACTTACTTTTTATTTGTTAATTACTTTTGTTCCCTAGAATGCCTAAATTAATGCTCCAAGTCTGCGCTTTGAGCTCATTATTTAATTTCATCTCCAATATACTGTGGTAGACAGCTGAAATAACAAAAACTTTGTTAATGCCCAAATATTTATGAACCTGACTGTATTGACTATTATATTTATGTATTTAATGGTATTTCCTAGTTTCTGAGTATATTTACAAGGCCCCAAGCATAAATTTCAACATGGCATATTGAAGTTAATTCTGACATGCCTCTGTTTCACACAACTCTCTGAATAGCATTTAAGTATGTAATTACATGAGCAAAATCAATATTAACTTACTACAAAACTCTCAAAAAGTTCTTGTTCTATGCTAGATTTTTAGGTGATGTACATGGAATGTGGAAGACTTTAAAGAGTTTATTACAATTCTTATTTGTCATCATCATCCAGTCAGTAAGGTGCAGTATGAATAAGAGCACACTACCCTGTTTGCTACCAAGTTCTTTTTCATGGAAGGGGAAAAAGACAAGACAGTGGGTTTGGGCACCAAAAGTATTTTTTAAAACTGCAGATACCCAGGCCTTATTACATAAAACATTACCCCCAAAACATACATCCCAAAGGCTAATAAAATTACAGTTAAAATGATTTTACATCAGGATACAGAAGAAGTACGTAGAATCCTTTTAGAGCCAAGAGGATATTCTAAAAGATGTTTAAATATGGTAAGGCAAAAAATACATATGGTGTATACCATATACAATAAATAACAGTCATCAAAGATCACCTGAAACTAACCCCAAACCCAACCTCACCACTAATTCTAACTCTTTGTACCCAAGCCCTAACCATAAGCCTTCAAACTGGAATATCCATAAGAAATTATTTTCAACCAAACATCTGAACACTTCTCTTGCCATACAATAATGATCTTTTAAGTAGATAGGTAAAGGTCATGCTTTCTCAGGGTCCATATATTGAGTTGAGTTACACATACAGTTAGATCCCGAAGTATTTGGACAATGACAGAGTTTTTGTGATTTTGCCTTTATACACCACCACAATGGATTTGAAATAAAACAATGAAGATGTTGAAGTACTTCCATTTTCAGGGGCTGAAAGGTATTTGGACAATTGACTGACAAGAAGTTAATTGACCAGGTGCGGTCCATTCACTCGTTACTTCAAGACAAATGAAGCAGATAAAAGGTCTGGAGTTGATATCAGGTATTGAATTGGCATTTGGCAGCTGTTCGATTGGAGCAACCAATATGAAGTCCAAGCACTATGAATTCTCAATGAAGTCTCAGTGCAAGTGAAGGAGGCCATCATTAGGCTGGAAAAAAACAACAAAAATCTATAAGAGAGATAGCATAAACCTTAGGTGTGGCCAAATCAACAGTTGGGTACATTCTTAAAAAGAAAGAAAGCACTGGTGAGCTCAACAACATCGAAAGGCCTGGAAGACCACGGAAGACAACTAAAGTGGATGTTCGCAGAATCCTTTCCTTGGTGAAGAAAAACCACTTCACAACATCAACAGAAGTCAAGAATACTCTGGAGAAGGTAGGCGTATCATTGTCAAAATCTACAATCAAGAGACGCCTTCATGAATGTAAATACAGAGGGTTTACAACAAGGTGCAAACCACTGGTAAGATTCAAGAACAGGAAAGCCAGATTAGACTTTGCCAGAAAACATCTAAAAAAGCCTCCTATGTTCTGGAATAAGATTCTCTGGACTGATGAAACCAAGATTAACTTGTACCAGAATGATGGGAAGAGAAAAGTATGGTGAAAGAAAGGAACAGCTCATGATTCAAAGTATACCACATGATGTGTCAAACATGGTAGAGGAAGTGTTATGGCATGGGCATGTATGGCAATGGAACGGGCTCACTGGTGTTTATTGATGATGTGACTGCTGACAGAAGTAGCAAGATGAATTCTGAGCTGTACAGGACTATACTCTCTGCTCACATTCAGCCAAATGCTACAAAACTGATAGGACACCGCTTCACAGCACAGGTGGATAATGACCCTAAACATGCTGCGAAAGCATCTCAAGACTTTTTGAAGGCAAAGAAATGGAATATTCTTCAATGGCCAAGTCGGTCGCCTGATCTCAACCCAATAGAGCATGCTTTTCACTTACTGAAGACAAGACTTAAGGCAGGAAGGCCCCCAAAC